ATTGTGTAAATTAAGCATGCCCCGTGAACGAAAATAATATACTATTTTATAGCAAAAATTATATGTCGTATTACATTATCGTATGATTTAAATCTATGTGCTTGAGGACTTGGATTTCACATTTTATATTTTTATGTTACCATGATACTCTTACTAAAACGAGATATTAGTTAAATTTCAAAGAAAAATAATTTCATCTAATATTATATATTTTAAGAAGCATAATTTTTTTTAAAAAAATTAAATAAATTTTTATTTTTTTATTACGTTCAAAGTTGATTAACTGTTATTAATTAAAATGACATTTGTCATTTTTAATACTCACGTGACGATGATGTAATGTTAGTGTGGAGATTAAATTGTCATGCGGTTAAGTCATTATGTCACATTAACATATTATGTCATTATTCGTTAAAATATATTAACGCGCCATATAGATATCACAAGACATAAAATAATAGATTTCATTTTGACTAATGATAATTAGTCAACCGCTAATTATAAGGCTCTGTTTAACTGAAAATAAAATAATAAATACTTTATTAAATACAATAAAATAAATGAAGGTTTATTTAAAATTTCCAAATTAATATAAGAACTTTTTGTCTTGTTAAGATCGTAACAAAACATATAGGAGTTGAACGTTTTGGATGAGCATAATTTCTGGAATTTGGATAATTGAACAATTGATTGAATAGATTTATTTGATGGACAACTAAAATTTAAGATTGATCTTACTTGTCATGAAAATAGAAGTCCACGGTAGTATATTTATATGATATCCTTGTACCTTGTAATATATGAAATCTCAAGGTGGAGTTCAGCTCCATTAGGATTCACCATGGATAGGATGCATGTTAATATTGTGATACTTGAACCCGAATTTGATTAATGTTTAATTACATAAATTTTTTACAAATTCGATAAAATTAACACTAAATATCTGAGCATGATTATTAACTTGCAAAAAACTCAAGACTGAATCTGAAATAAAAAAAAATAAATTTTATGTATATTTTTAATAAAAATTAAATTAATTAAAAAAATAAATTAAAGTTTAAAATTACTTTTCAAAAAGTTTAAATTAATATTTAGAAGAATTAATAAATTTTAGTAAGTATTACATTAATTATCTTTTAAAAAATTATTACATTAATTATAAGTAATTTGTTGAAAAAAATAATATATAAGACTAAAATCTAATATTAAAAATTATTATTTATAATTAAGTTCGATTAGTGGGTATTCAATGACTATTATTGCAACCTCTAAAGGGTATAACAAGTTTATTATTAAACTCTATTTGAACCCAATTATAATTACTCTAATCTTACTTAATAAAGTCAAATATTACTAGATTTCTGATTATAAAATTGTTATTGTCATCTTTAAGTTTGCCAGATCATAGTGGTATACGAAACTTAAGTAAATCATAAATTAATGTTATTTTTTATATTAACATAAGGAAATGGGAGAAAGTAGGATATTAATTATCATTCCCTTGCATCTCAAAAACTTATATCCAAAATGCTGCATATTCCATTTTATAATTCGGAAATAAAATAAACTTGTTGTGCATTTTCCACTGTTTGCTGCACAATGAAAAAGAAAAATGGTGGTGAAAGAAAAAGTTAGTCAAGAAAGAGCCTACTAAAGTAATTAAAGAACATGAGGAAAAGCTCTAAACATATTCATTTGCTTTCTTTAAAGGGTGTATTATGTATATGAGTAAATACTTTTTTGGAGAAAATATTATTCCAAAATGAAAAAAAAAAGGTCATTTTCTGGGAAATACTTTTCCATAAAAAAGATAGCTCCTCTCAGCAGTTGAATTTTCTTTCTTTGCATTGCTGTTCTTCTTTTTTTTTTTTTTGGAAAAATAAAAAACTCTTAAAATGAATTGATGTTTTACCGACTCAAAGATTTTTTGTTTCCTTCTTTTTCATAGAAGTGGGTTTTCATGTTGAACTTGGGCAAAGGGACCACTTTAACCTAACAAGCACAATTCAATAATGTTAATAAACGCGAATCTTATACCATATCTTCTTCTGCTTCTTCTTCTTCTTCTTCTTCTTATTCCTTTATTATTTCCCTACAAGCAAGGGCCGAGCCTTATCCCTTAACCAGAAACATCATTTAGACAGACAGACACATGACTCATGGAGCCACGGTCCAAAAACAAAGAAAATGTATTGTAGCTTCATTTTTTATGATGCAATGACAAAGGGCTTCTTTTTGGTGGTGTAGTGCCAATAAAATACATGATAAGGCAGCAATTCAGCCCCCCTTCCTCTAGGATATGAGAGAGAGAGAGAGTTGGACCATTTTGGGAAAGGAAAAAGGGGACCATAAGTTCTTAGTTGTTTTTCCCTCACTTGTGTGGCTCTCTCTCCCTTTTACTTTTTCTCTTTGCAAAGTGAACCCCCCATGGTGGTGTGGTGTGGTGTTGGTCTCAATCAATAGGGTTGGAAAGACAAAAGTGAAATTGCTAGCTAGGCAGGCCCATCATGGATGTGTATGTGAACTTCAATCATCCCCCATATTCCTCCTGCTCCTTTCTACACCAAATTTCTTTTTCTTTTTGTATTTTTTTAAAATTAATATTATTTACGTTCAAATCTTCTTTTTTTTTCCAATTTTAAAAATAAATCATTGATTTATTTTGTATCACAAGAATTGACCTCGTTTATGTATTATTCCGATGGTGAGGAGGAATTTCTTGAAAATTCAGGGCATTTGAGCATTTATTCTTCCCCGTCACTAATGTGCCGAGGATGATTAAAAAGCCAAACAGTTGCAGCTTTGTTCCCTTTCCAAATGCCTCCATGAAAATCCAAATTGCAGTGGCACTATCCAAACTGTCTTTGGGCTCTTAAGGGCAAGTAATTTATGAAGCTTATGGCTCTTACTTCTTGTTTGGAAGTGCAATAAGCTAATACTTCATTTCTTTCTCTTCTTTTTTCTTTCTTTGATCTAAACCCTAAACTAGGTTAATCTCTTTTATCTTCAATGAAAACAAGATTTAGCTTTTTTTATTTATTTTTTGATTTTATAAGGACAACTCAAATCTGATTCTTTAAACAAAATATATACACATTTATCATTAAATAAAAAATACAATAAAATTTAATTCATCATTTTAAAGATAATTATTAACTTTTTTTTATCTCAGTCAAACTAGCTCAACTAGTTAGAACCAGAGAAAGTAAAGCAAAAACAATTGAAAAAGTAGGTCTACAGTAAATACAAGAAAGACTTCATTTATTGTCATTTTATTGTTACTAGTATTTATTTATAAATAACAAGGGCAATTATATATAAAGTCTAAATATTTTTAGAGGCTAAAGTTAATTGTTTATAAATAGAGGAATATTATTATAATGAAAGAAATATATATATATATAAGAGACAATTAATGCTTTGATTATATATAATTGAAATTTTGTGGTATTAAATCAATGTATTATTCAATACTTCATTCAATTCAATTAGGATTTTTATTTACAAATTTGATAAATTTTATTACTATTTAAATTATAAAATATTTTTAATGAAATTTATTAGATACAATTAGAATTCTTATATATTTAAAATTAAATAAATTTTTTAATATTAATAGTAAAAGTATTTCAAATGACAATTTAATTTTATAATGACTAAACATGACCATTTTCCTCAATTTTCTAAATGTAAAGTTAATTATCTAGAAATAAAAGACAATTAATGTCTCCATTATCATAAAAATTTTTTGTAATATTAATCTATAAACCATTAAATGTTTTTAGAAGTAATAAACATTTTTTAATGAAATTAAAATTCTTATTTTCAAATTTGATAATCTTATTCATATATATTTTAATAAAAATTATTTGATACAATTAAAACTCTTATATATTTACAAAGTAGATAAATTTTATTAATATTAAGAATAAAACATATTTAAAATAAAAATTTAAAATATAATATTTTTGTCAACGAAAAAGATTTATATATCATATAAGAGTCTATGTAATCTAACATAAAAATATAAAAATTTAATTAAATATAATAAAAAAATAAAAATTTATTTAATTTTTTAAATATTAAGACTTTTATTATTAATAAAAGCTTAAATATATAATTTTTTTACACTTAAAAAAATAAATATATTTTCTTTTCTACTTCTACCAGTCAATACTATGTTTAAAATGAAAGAAAAAGTGCCAAAATAAAAGCACGTTGACTTGACGACACGTGACGGTCTTTTTTTTTTTTTTTTGTTTCTGAAAGGAGACATTGGGTGACTTTGAATTTAAATTAATTAAAAAGTGCAAATTTTTGTGCAAAATAATGTGAGAATTTTAATTATATTACTAATAATTGAAAACTAGTACTGCTATAAAAGAGAAAGGAAAAGGAAATACAAAAAAAATTATTTACTAATTTGGTAATAATTAAATAAAATTTAAAATTAATTAAATCTCCTAACTAATTTAAATCATAATTTTGTGATTGAAAAATGTTTTGGATAAAAAAAAGAGAAAATAAATAATTAACAAAGATACATTTGCCTTTTCATTTAAGATTAATTAGTAATTAATACTATTACCTTTTCCGTAAATGAATGTATTTTTTACCAAATTTAAAAGACTAAAATAATATATTTTTTAAAAAGATAAATATGTTTTCAATCAAATTTCGTAGAGCTTTTGATTTTTCATTTGTTTTTCTTTTTTTTTTATTGACTATTGAGAAAAGCAAAGACCGCAACGGAAAAACTAAACTCGGCCGAGTCAAAGCAATTCAGTCAAGATTTGACTAGGATTTTACCATTTACAGTTTCAGTAACATCATTTCCCTGGCTTTTCTTTTCTTTCTTTTACAACTTTCTCAGCCACCAAACGGAAAAACCCAAAAATTACTGCAAAGCAAAAAAAAGAAGATGGGTGTTTAGCATTATCCCCTCTGTTTTTTTTTCTTTATTCCCTCTTTTCCCTTTTTCTTTTTTTTTCCTCTCTGATTTATTAATTCCCTCCCTTCTCTGTCTCTGTCTCTTCTCTCTCTCTCTCTCTCTCTCTCTCTGCTGTAACTCCTAATCAGATCATAATATTAGCAATTTCCCAACTCTTTCCCATTTTTTTCCTTCACTTTCCTCGCAGATTTTCTCTCTTCCAAATACCTCTCTCCCTTCAATTCCCACCTCATTCTCAAATTGATTCTTTCTTCTCAACTTTTTGCTACTTTCACTAGGTAAAAGCTTTATTTTCTCCATATTTTCTTTAGATTAAGATTATTGAAATTTCCAAAGAGGTGTAAAAAGTGAAGTGAAATTGGGAACTAGTAAACTTTTCGTGATGGTAGAATCCGAATTTTTCGGATATTGGGTGGAATTTGAGACGTTGAAGTTAGGGTTTAGTTCTGGTGAGAAGGAAAAGGTAAAGAGTTATTTGGATGGAAGGGTTTGGTTTTGAAAATGGATGACTTTATGTTAAACATTTCTTAAGTTTTTTTTTTTTTTGGATCCCTTTAATTGTTGGGGATTTAGGGGGTCCTTTTTTTGGTTTAGTAAAGTGTAGTTTCGGTTATGTCAAGAACAGATAGGATGGCTTCCGATCTTAGCAGAACTGGCCCTGTCGAAAGAGACATCGAGCAGGTGATTTTGTTGGGTGATTTTGTTTGTATTTTAATCAGTGAATTTGATTTCTTTCTTTGTTGGATTGAATTTTTTGAGTTTTTTTTTTCTGATTATTGTTATAAGTTGCTGATTTGATGCTTTTTATTTGAGTATAGTTTTTCAGAGTAATTGAGCATTTTAATGATCGTTGAGGGATGTGTATGAGTAAATTAAGCGTAGTTGTTGGAGCAAGTAGGAACAGATAGTGGCATTCTAGTTGTAGCTTGAGTAGGGTGAAGCCCTGTTAGCAACATCTTGATCCCCTTATTTTAATTGTAATTTGCTCTTGTAAAGCTTTTATTAGTATTGGACTCTTGAAGTGTGAGTAAAGAGGTGAACCAGCTAATCTTAGTGTTGCATTGAGTGAATGATCTTAGAATTTGCTATACGAAGTCACCAAGTAGCTAAAAGCACTCTTGTGACAAATGAATGGAAATACCAAGTACCATATGCTAGGAGAGGTGATTGTAGGCATTTTGTCGTGCTATCACTTTACCTGCTGCACCCAAATCTAGACCCGCCAATTCGATTGTGATACTTCTTCCTGGCTGATTACTGTTATCTGTTTCACTGTTCATAAATGATGAAGCTAGGTGTAATAAATACATTGAGCAGCCCCTATGCTTACCTTTTAAATACTTAACCCATATGTATGGCATATATTGTTACATACAGTTGCATTTAAGATATGCTAACAACTCATGACATGGCCTGGTTTTAAACAGGCCTCAATGCTAAGTAATAGATATCTTACCATAGAAAAATAAATGGGTACTGTCATATTTTGTCTGGCACATCTATATCTCCAGACCTTGCCTGATGAGAATCCTTCATTCATCTCTGGATCCTTGGAATGTAAGTTGGAGGTAATCTTTATACGCATGTATGTCTAGTTCAATGTAAGTTGGAAAATAGATTGCTTAGATGCTGAGTGTTAGTGTGGGTGGTGCTTCGGTCAAGTTGGGAGGTAATCTGAATTTGGCCTTGGTCAAATGGGATTGCCCCTGCTCTTGCTGGAATCTTGTCTGTGGTTCTATTTTATGCTTTGTTATTACAGCCTTTTCCTTTTATGAAATCTCTAAAAGTCTTTTTATCAGTCTTTATGTTCTTCTATTATAATAAGTTTTTTTCTGAATAATTTGATTGTGCAGTGAGTATTTTTCCTCTAGTTTATCATTCTGCTACATATAAAGTGATCTTGGAGCTATAATTATGTTTCCCACCTGCAAATGTGCTAAATATGCCTAAGTTAGGTTATTGGATGCTCTTTACAACAGGCCATTACTGCTCTGAAGAAAGGGGCATACTTGCTGAAGTATGGAAGAAGAGGGAAGCCAAAATTTTGTCCCTTCCGCCTTTCAAATGTAAGTGTGCCCCATTTTCCAGTCACTTGCTTGAAGCGTTTAACATGTTTTTTTTAAAGTTTGTATCTGTTCTAGAGCATAATTTTCTTTGTTATCAATCAGCCTTTATTGAAGATGTGAGTAATGTTTTGTACATGATTTTCAAGTGAAGTATAAGCATGAGTGAAGTGGTTTTTAGCCATTGTAGGTAATGAAATATGGAATGACTAGTATTACATAGAGGAAATTCAAGTTTAAAGCTACTGATAATAAGACTATTCATGGTGCAAATTTACAAAGTCCGAACTAATTATATTTGAATAGAAGTGAGCTTAATTCTGCATGGTAACCCTTTAATTTGTCTATAACTATTTGGTGCTATTCCTTTGTCTTTGGCACTCTTGCTCAAATACCTGTACTTTTTTTTTTGCTCAAATACCTGTATTAGATAGAGGGAAATCAGGTTCAAAACTGCTGCGAGGCAGACTATTCTTATTTCTAACTGCCAACTTGGGAAATACAAACTATAAATACTTGAATAGGAATTAATTCTGCATGATAATGCATTACATTTGTTTGTAACTATGTTCTGCTATTCCTATACCTTGATTACTCTTACTTTGGTGAGACCACAGTCCACTTGCCATCACTACAGATCATTTTTACTTGTTCTTGACCTGTTACGTAAAGTAGTGGTTCCTTCCTCCATTGAACATTGGAAAGCCCTTTCGTGTAAGATAATAAAAGAAAGTTGAAACTAGAGATGCAATCACTTCCCTGTATATGTACGCATATGATATTACATATCTTGTCAAAAGAATAAGCACCGTTTGGTTAAAATATTGGTCTACAAATGCCGGAAATTGTCTATTTTGGATTGCAAATGCTTGAGAAGCATGCATTTTTTAAGTTCAAAATTCATATGCTGGAATAATTTTCAAAGAGAAAATTGTAACATGGAGAAAGTGAAATTCTAGTGCTCTATTTCCACCCTTTGATATTTATTCTGAATGAACTAAATGGAGCTTTGAAATAAATCACGTCTAAACTGCTGGGTAATTAAGTATTTTCCATTTGAACAATGTTATTTGTAATGATTAATTATGCTTATGTTTACTTGCTTTCCTCATATTTACATTTTGAGCAATTTGACAAGGAGAAGAACATAATCAATAGATAGAGAGAGCAAAATTCAATTTGCTCTACACCATACTGAAGAATAAAAAAATGAAATTGATTTAACATGTAAGCTGAGTGATTAAAAAGAGTACTTACGGGTGTAAAATAAGTAGAAAAACTTATATTTTGGTTCAGTTTATCCTTCTGCTGCTGATTATTGAATTATTTTTTCCCACTACAAGTCCTAAATGGTTGATTGTTATTCTGCTTTCAGGATGAGTCTGTTTTAATATGGTTCTCAGGGAAAGAGGAGAAACATCTTAAACTAAGTCACGTGTCTAGAATCATATCTGGGCAGCGCACTGTAAGTGGTTTTCTTTAGAGATGGCATATTTTCTGTGCCTACTTTGCCATGATTTGACAATACTTGGAGAGTTGCTTACATGCCCGTAACATGTGATGGAAACACAAAAGAAATGTCTGTTTTGTCTGATATTTTTAATCATTTCCTTATTTCTTCTTTGGCACTACTACATGTAGAAAGTTAATTTTAGTGTTCAATATTTTATGCATCGACAGTTGTTTCCCTGAAGAAACTTGAACCACAATTGTGTAAACTTTATCCAAGCTGACGTGGAATTGACTACAATTGCATATTTTCATGAAATTCACAATCTTCTATGCTGAGGTAAAGTTAAGCAATAGAGTGGCTGAAGTGGGATCCTGGGAGGCAACCATTAGTGTACTTAAGTCAGGTGGCCTTTTTACAGGCTCACCTCAAACATACATGTGTTTACTGAGGAGGTGTTTCTCACTGTACACAAGATTAATCCTTGTTCACCAATTTTGGGTGATGTTACAATTTAGTTGATCAATATAATTTTGTTTTTACTTCAATTTTTTGCTAGCTCATTTCATTACAACTGCACATGGATCACTATAACAGCATTACAATGATGCTTAACTTAAAACTATGATGTGGATGTGCATGTTCTTTGTTCCTTTTCTTCCAATTTTCTGCTTGAGCATTGCAACTCCCATTGATTGTATTGATTCTGCACATGGATCAGCATTAGCAGAATCAGGACAATTCCTAATTTGAAATTGTGGTGCTTTAGTGGGTCATGTGTTTTTATAGATCTTTTCTCTGTGTACTTTTGTCACTGTAGTAGCTTCCGTTTTTTCTTTTGCGGTAGTCTAGTCTCTTACCATTCATGTCTTGCCTTGGTTATGCTGTGATGACTACATTAAAATTTTTTTACTTTTCTGCTAGTACTGATTAAAAATGGCCTATATTTTCTTCCAGCCTATTTTTCAAAGGTATCCTCGGCCTGAGAAAGAGTATCAGTCATTTTCACTTATATATAATGACAGATCACTGGATTTGGTAAGAATATGCCTCTTTGAAACCATGACTTCTTGTTATGAGATTATTGATGTATACCTCCTCTCCTGTGGCATATACAAACAGCTAAATGTTTTTTATTTTCTTAATAAAATTATTTACTAGATCTGCAAGGATAAAGATGAAGCCGAAGTCTGGTTTAGTGGTTTAAAAGCATTAATCTCTCGTAGCCACCAAAGAAAGTGGAGAACAGAATCGAGAAGTGATGGCATTCCTTCTGAAGCAAACAGTCCGAGAACATACACACGAAGAAGTTCACCTTTGAATTCTCCATTTGGTAGTAATGATAGCTTGCAGAAGGTGTGGTTTCTATATTATCTACAGCTCTGCCTTCTAACACTACAACATTGTGAATTTAAGATGCTTTTTCTATTTAAATTCAGGATGGTGATCACCTTCGCCTTCATAGTCCGTATGAAAGTCCTCCAAAGAATGGTCTTGATAAGGCATTTTCAGATGTAATATTATATGCTGTTCCTCCCAAGGGTTTCTTTCCTCCAGATTCTGCTAGTGGTTCAGTTCATTCTTTGTCTTCAGGAGGATCAGATAGTGTACATGGTCACACGAAGACAATGGCAATGGATGCTTTTAGGGTTAGTCTTTCAAGTGCGGTTAGTTCATCAAGCCAAGGGTCTGGTCATGATGATGGTGATGCCTTGGGCGATGTTTTCATTTGGGGTGAAGGCACTGGTGATGGTGTTTTGGGTAGTGGACTTCATAAAGTTGGCAGTTGTGGTAACAAAATGGATTCTTTACTGCCTAAAGCTTTAGAATCTGCAGTTGTACTTGATGTACAGGATATTGCCTGTGGTGGTCGACATGCTGCCTTGGTAACCAAGCAGGGGGAGGTTTTCTCCTGGGGAGAGGAATCTGGAGGCCGGCTTGGCCATGGTGTAGACTCTGACGTTTTGCATCCAAAGCTTATTGATGCCCTTAGTAATACTAACATTGAACGTGTAGCATGTGGTGAGTACCATACTTGTGCCGTCACACTTTCTGGTGATTTGTACACATGGGGTGATGGCACTTATAATTTTGGTCTTCTTGGTCATGGAAATGAGGTGAGTCATTGGGTACCAAAACGAGTGAATGGGCCCTTGGAGGGGATACATGTCTCATCAATCTCTTGTGGCCCCTGGCATACAGCTGTCGTAACTTCTGCAGGTCAATTATTTACCTTTGGAGATGGTACGTTTGGTGTTTTGGGTCATGGAGATCGGAATAGCGTCTCAATACCCAGGGAAGTGGAATCCCTAAAGGGGCTCCGCACTGTGCGAGCAGCTTGTGGAGTGTGGCACACTGCTGCAGTTGTGGAAGTCATGGTTGGAAATTCAAGTTCTAGCAACTGTTCCTCAGGGAAGCTATTTACGTGGGGAGATGGGGATAAAGGTCGACTTGGCCATGGGGATAAGGAAGCAAAACTTGTTCCTACTTGCGTTGCTGCTCTTGTGGAACCAAACTTTTGTCAAGTTGCCTGTGGACACAGTCTGACAGTTGCCCTTACAACGTCAGGGAATGTCTACACTATGGGAAGTCCTGTTTATGGCCAGCTGGGAAATCCACAAGCTGATGGAAAGGTTCCTATCCGTGTTGAAGGAAAGCTTTCCAAGAGTTTTGTTGAGGAGATTTCTTGTGGTGCTTATCATGTTGCAGTTTTGACTTCCAAAACTGAAGTTTATACTTGGGGGAAGGGTGCAAACGGTAGATTGGGTCATGGGGATTCTGATGACAGAAACTCCCCAACTTTGGTAGAAGCTCTGAAAGACAAGCAAGTCAAGAGTATTGCCTGTGGCACTAACTTCACTGCAGCAATCTGTCTCCATAAATGGGTTTCGGGTGTTGATCAGTCCATGTGTTCTGGTTGTCGCCTCCCATTTAATTTCAAAAGAAAACGTCACAATTGTTATAACTGTGGACTGGTCTTTTGTCATGCATGCAGCAGTAAGAAGTGTCTTAAGGCTTCCATGGCTCCAAATCCCAACAAACCTTATCGTGTCTGTGACAATTGTTTTAATAAACTGAGGAAAGCCATTGAAACTGACGCATCATCTCAATCTTCTGTGAGTAGAAGAGGAAGCATAAATCACGGGACTGGTGAATTTGTTGATAAAGATGATAAGTTGGATTCCAGATCTCGTGTACAACTTGCTAGATTTTCATCAATGGAATCTTTGAAGCAAGGGGAAAGCCGATCAAAGAGAAACAAGAAACTAGAATTTAATAGTAGTCGTGTCTCACCGGTTCCGAATGGAGGCTCCCAATGGGGAGCACTTAATATTTCTAAATCTTTTAATCCGGTATTTGGATCATCAAAGAAATTTTTTTCAGCTTCTGTTCCTGGATCAAGAATCGTTTCTCGTGCAACATCACCAATATCAAGACGGCCTAGCCCTCCTCGTTCAACAACACCAACCCCAACTCTTGGAGGCCTCACCTCCCCTAAAATAGTTGTCGACGATGCTAAGAGGACCAATGATAGCCTTAGTCAAGAGGTTGTTAGATTAAGAGCACAGGTATTTTGTCTTTTCCACTTCTCAATATTCTTGTGGAGATTTATTCATTAATTTTTGTAGCTAAGGTACCCTTTGATTGTTGTTCTTGCACCTCGCATTTTCCTATTTAATTTTGCTTCCTAAGAATTGCTAAAATGCAAAAGAAAAAGTTAAAAAGAAAAATCATCATTGATTAGAAATGATCAAATGATTAAAATGTGGCTGCAATTCTAATATAATTATCCTGAATAAAAGTTAAAATAAGATCATAAATTTTGATGTCCAAAAAAGCTTACATTTTTAAGTTTTAGTTCTTAAAGAAAACTTTTTGCTTCTATATTCAGATTCATTTTTTAGTTTTTGCTTCCAAAAGCAAAAAGCAAGTAGCAAAGATACAGCCAAATAATACCTAAGTAAATTGCATTGTCTTACTTTGTTATACATTTCTGTAGTTAAGATGAAGGAAACTTTACCAAAAATTTGAACAAATGGTATTACATGAGTGAACTTTGAGAATGGTCAGATCTTGAGAACTTTTATCTCTTGGTCTTTTCCTTGGTCTGACTGATATGTTTGTTGGGTATTATTGTTAATTCATGATGCGTAGGTAACAATTGAGAATGCATTATAGATTTCTGTTCAAAGTGAGTGCAAAGTATACATCAAAACTGGTGCTTCTGCAGTGCAATGTAATAAATTGTGAGTTCTTTCAAAACAGTGGTCAATATACGGCTTCCTATTTTAAAGCCTAGAGATTTCTGTCAGACAATGTGGTAACAGATGAGGTTAGTGAAGGAGAAAAATCAAAGAAGCTAAAAATGGGCTGGCAAGCTAGATGCTAAGCTTTAATTTCAGTAGGATATTTTACAGTTTAGAAGATAATTCTTGTTTCCTTTTTCCTGCAAGCTTGCTTTACTTGCTTGATAGGTTATTCAGGGTTTGTGCATTATGCCTCACCAATGTTTATCTCTCAGGTGGAGAATCTTACACGTAAAGCACAGCTTCAAGAAGTTGAGTTGGAAAGAACTACCAAACAGCTGAAGGAGGCAATAACAATTGCAGAGGAGGAGACTGCAAAATGCAAAGCAGCAAAGGAAGTCATCAAGTCACTTACCGCCCAAGTAAGATGAATTTATGTTTGTTTGGGGTCCATGGATATCTATTTTAATAAAACTTTAGCCATATAGCTCTGCATAGCAATGTGTATGAGCATCATTACTTTGAGCTATAATTTTTTGTCTTTGTTGTTGTCTTAGCTATTTTAAGTCATTTTTTCCAGTTTTTGTACTCTGGTTGCCTGTTATTTATGTCTGAGTCTCTTTGCTTACCTTTGGGTAATGAACTGAGCATGTGACAAGATCACAAGAATGCTCAAGTTCAATTATACTCCACTTTTGGTGGATTCTTGATGTAGAACTAGTAGGAAAAAGAGATGAATATAGAAATCTAGGGGAAAATCAGAGGCAGGCAGAAGCTATTAGGGAGGAATAGAAGGAATAGGGGGAAAAACAGAACTGAGGGGGCAAAACAGAATAGAGGGAGAGAAAATCCCAAATATATATTCTCAAAAAAAAAAAAAAAGGATTGCAAATATTTATCATCCAAAACCTAATCGAAACTAAAAGCTCTCTTGTGCTTTGATAACAAATTGATGTATAAGGGCAAAGAGAGAGAATATAGAAATCTAGAGGGAAAAATTAGAAACAAGCAGAAGTGATTGTGGAGGAACAGAGGAAATCAGGGTAGAAACAGAAAAACTAGGAGAGAAAAAATCAGAAAGAATCAATAGAGGAAGAAAATCTCCATAATTAATATATCAAAATCTAAAATATTCATCAACCAAAACCTAATTGAAACTAAAATAACATAGGTATTTATAACTACACTAAAAATCCTAGTGAAATGTAAAATACCAAATACAGCCCTAAAACTCTAATACTTGGAAAAGAAGTAAAATACTAATTAATATAAAATAAGCTAAATAATCTAAAATAGCCTAAATATATGTAAAGGTTACAATTAAACCCATAAAATCTTAAATAACGTCTTAGATAACTTAATCTCTCATCTAGCATATTTCCTTCAATCTTTTTTTCTGGTTAAACAGATAGCTGGACTGTTCTGCCCTCATAAATCAATACAAAATTTACTTTCAAAAATTAGTTCTGATAGGATTCCTTCTGGTTCCTCTCTTCACCTCTCATTTGTTTATCTCTAAGAAGTTGAAATCACACAGGTTTTTTACTGGATAGCAGATGGAAGCATAATGCTAAACTACTGCTCATATATATTCTAGATGAATATCTTTTAGTTGCATGTTAAATGCCTTTGCAATAAAAGTACGATACATAATGTTATCAGTGCAATATATTTTTGTTTCTGTCTAATCTCTAGAACTCAACGTATCACTAGAGTCAGTTTAGTTGTTAGTTGCACTTCCAATACTTAATGTCTCTCTACTGATTTAGATGATATATGATATGCTGGACAGTTGAAGGATATGGCTGAAAGACTGCCTGTAGGCGCTGCACGGAACACCAAGTCGCCTTCATTTACTTCATTTGGCTCCAGCCCTGCTTCAAATGATGTCTCTAATGTGTCAATTGACAGAATGAATGGTCAAATAGTGTGCCAAGAACCAGATTCAAATGTATCAAGCAGCCAGTTGCTTTCTAATGGTTCCAACACTGCTAGTAATCGTAGTTTTGGCCATAACAAACAAGGCCATATTGAACCAGCAACTAAAAGTGGAGGCAGAATAAAAGAAGGTGAATCTCGAAATGAGAATGAATGGGTTGAGCAAGATGAACCTGGTGTGTATATAACACTTACGTCGCTACCAGGAGGTGCCAAGGATCTCAAGCGAGTTCGCTTCAGGTATGTTATGCATTTCTCTCTCTGGCAATTCTAAATTGTGTTGACAAGCTATCCCAAATAATGGGGACTTGCGAATGATTTGGTGGAGAGGACATTCCTGTTTGTAGTAAGCAAAATCAAGTAAGATGATAATAATATGGGAATTAAAAATGTTATTAAACAGCTCAAGTTAGGCCGATATCAGGATGGGCTTGGCATTGTCAAAACTTGTGAAAATCAACTGATGCCCAAGTTTGGCTTCGACAAACAGCCAAATGATCATAAGCTTTGAATTGTACTCGTAAATGCATCCCAAAGTGCCAAGCTTGTAACCTGTGTTTTTGCCCTTAGACTAAGTTGTAATCAGACCATAAGCATGGGAACTCAATTAGGTGAAGAAGCATGCTCAGTCTATTTTGAACCCTCCCACGCCATCACATACTTCATGTGCTTGATTTAACCACGTCTGTTTAGACCATCTTTGATTGGTGTAACAGTCCAATATTTTATCTTAATTGACTCTTTAGAGATGAACTTAGTCATGTTTATTGCTGAAGAAAAATTAACCTGTTTTTGAAACTATGATGCAGTCGGAAGCGGTTTAGTGAGAAACAAGCAGAACAATGGTGGGCGGAGAACAGAGCAAGAGTATATGAGCAATACAATGTCCGCATGATTGACAAGTCTAGTGTTGGTGTTGGGAGTGAGGACTTGGCTCATTAACACAGTGAAATAACCATTATGTAAATGTAATAGTCCTTTTAAGATTTCAATCCCAATTATTGGGATCCAATTGATCAATTATATTCGGCTTTCCGTTGTTCGTCAAGAGTTGAGGGAAGCAGAAATGGTATAAGTGAGATAACTAGAGAGGTTTGATTGGGTTTTCTTTTATTTTGGCCCCTTTGATATTTTTCCCACTTGATTTTACTTCAATTTTTTCCCTATATGTACCTTGTGTGGGGGGATTGAGGGTGACAAATGTAAATTCTTAGTAGGTTGCTGGCTCTTGTTGAAAGCAGCAATCATGTAAATTCATAAGCAAATGAAATCCGCAGGAAAGAAGTTTTCCATTTTTCTTTTGATTTTTATATTTTCAGTTCATTTCTTTGTCAATCAGGGCTTGTTTTTGTGAAAGCACTTAGGTGTATGCACCAGTCTGATGAGACACTGATGTGGGGGAGTGCATACTTAAGACCGCCTGGAGAGAGAATGAGGCTTAACCAAAGTCTCAGAATACTTTTGACCATATTACCAAAAAAAAAAAAAAACTCATCTAAGTCTAATTCTCTCTACTTGTAATTCTCCTTGAAGCCTAGCAAGAAACAAGACTTCTTCATTGCATGCCGATTTCCACCTGAATTAAGAAGGCAAAGCATACATCCAACTATGCTGTTTATGATGTTATGGCGAATTTGCATGCATGGCATTGGCAGCTGATCTCCATAAGGTGCCAACTGCATTGAAATGAATGTAATCGACGATGCTGTTCTCTAGTAGTTATGCTGTATCATCTGCTATAAATCCCCAGTTATACTTGTCCCAATCCGCCATTATCATACAATTCTTCCAAGCTTTGACTATAATAGTTCTATAGTCTATGAATTTCTAGGTAACCAACAAAGAATGTATTGAATCAGAAGTTGAGAACTCTGAAATAATAGAATAATACTACACAAGGGTAACAAGACAAGACTAGTTGCCTCAAAAGCTGACCGTATAGATAATTCTTTTTCTTCATTTCCTACGTATGATAAATGTCAGAACTTGAACAAAATAACATAAAAAATATGTAGGGAAACAAAAGAAGGTGATCAGAACTAACCTGTTGTAGCTAAAAAAGAGCTAGCAACTGACAGTTGTGAGACCTCTCCTTTCGCTGGTCTTCAACATTTTTATTTTACCCACATTAAACGGCGACGTCTGCTTAACCTACTTCTTCCTCCCTCTGTCAAACGTCTCCCCCCCTGCTTCCTCACTCACACTCACCTTTTGTTTTCCCCAAAGGAAAGCAGAAATCATTTTATTGATAAATTCTGCCAAAATTTCCTCAAACTTCATTTTCCTTGTGTAGTTTTAAGCAGCGGTTTAAGCCCACTTCTAAATTTAACAAAGTGCCCCAGTAACAGTCCCATAAGGTAATGAAAACCACTCTTTATGGCTTCGAAACTCATTCGAATCGCATCCTACCAAGCGGAAAACCAGCAAGAACTATCTCTAAGGCAAGCTTTTGATCTTCTCGAATCAAAACTAAGACCCCCATTTCCGCTAATAATCCCAAGCCCCCAAGAATACACTCAACTTAATCAAGCTATACTTTATGGTGTTTTAGTCGAACCCCATTTCGCCAAAATCCATATTAAGCACTTGCATGCTATTGTTGTTGATGGGTATAAGCTGTTTTTAAATTTACTAGACGGACTTGTTAATGAATTGTATGGAAAGTTTGTTGATTCAGTTAAAGATCAGTTAATTTGGGTTACAAGAGAAATGATTGACGTTTCCGCGGTAGGCATTGATGGCTTGTTAGTGTCTTTGTTGAGGCAAATTGTTGGTGGTGATTTTAGTGGTGGGAATCTTTGGTTATGTTTCGAGTTAGTGGGTGTGTTTTTAAGTAAATGGGATTGTTTGTTAGAAGAAGAGCCTTTAGTTTTGACTAGTGCATTGTATACATTTCTTCGTTTATTATCGGATCATTGTAGGCTATTGAGGAATCCGGAATTAGGGGTATTGAGGCAATTGGAGATTGAGTTTTGTGTCAAAATGTTAAGGGAGCAGTTTCACCTTTGTTTGAAGATAGGGAGGGATCTTGTTCGATTATTACAAGATTTAGTTCATGTACCCGAATTTAGAACTATATGGAAGGATTTGGTTTTGAATCCAAGTGAGTTTAGAACTGCTGGGTTCTCGGATATCTCAGAGCTGTATTGCACAAGAACTTCCGGTCGGTATTTCTTACTACGGATTACTCCTGAAATGGAAACACACTTGCGGTTTTTACTCACGCATGTGATGCTAGGGAGCCAGAAACGATACCAGACATGGTTTGCAAAGAAATTTCTTTTAGGGCCAGAGAGAGAGAGTCTTGTTGTTGATATTGTCCGGTTTATATGTTGTGCACACCACCCGTCTAATGAAATTATTCAGTCAAACATTATTCCCAGATGGGCTGTTATTGGTTGGCTACTAAAATGTTGTAGGAAGAACTATATTGAAGCTAATGGGAAGCTGGCACTGTTTTATGATTGGCTCTTTTTCAATGAAAAAGTGGACAATATTATGAATATTGAGCCTGCAATGCTATTGATGGTATGCTCCTTGCCTAATTATATTGACTTCACTCACTCCCTTCTTGAGTTTTTGCTTCTTCTTGTGGATAACTATGATTTGGACCACAAAGATATTTTAATTAGGGGTGTATCATCAGCATTTCATACAGTTGTTCAGAAAGGAGTGGTACATTCATTGGATGTTCTCACCCGTTGTGATGCACTTTCTCCTTCCATTAGACAAAGGCTTCAGAAGCTCTTGCTTCAATAAACTGAGGGAAGCAATTCAAACTGATGCCTCATCTCAATCTTCTGTGAGTAGAAGAGGAAGCATGAATCATGGGACTATTGAATTTGTTGAGAAGGATAACAAGTTGGATTCCAGCTCTCATCTCAACGTGCTAGATTTTCATCAATGGAATCGTTGAAGCAAGGGGAAAGCCAATCAAAGAGAAACAAGAAGCTAGAATTTAGTAGTAGTTGTGTCTCATCACTTCCAAATGAAGGCTCCCAATGGGGAGAACTTGTTATTTCTAAATCTTTTAATCTGGTATATGGATCATCCAAGAAATTTTTCTCAGCTTCTGTTCCTGGATCAAGAATCGTTTCTCGTGCAACATCACTAATATCAAGAGTCAAGACGGCCTAGCCCTCCTCGTTCAACAACACTCACCCCAACCCGTGGAGGCCTCACCTCCACTGAAATAGTTATGGGTGATGCTAAGAGGACCAATGATAGCCTTACTCAAGAGGTTGTCAGATTGAGACCATAAGTACTTTGTCTTTCTTTCTTCTCAATACTCTTGTGGAATTTTTTTATTTATTTTTCACTGAGGTTCCCATTGATTGTTTTTCTTGCACCTTGCATTCTCCTATTTAATTTTTAGCTTACGAAGAATTGCCAAAATGTAAAAGCAAAATCATAATTGGTTAAAAATGAACAAATGATTAAAATGCAGCTGCAATTTTAACATAAATATTCTGATAAAAGTAAGAATAAGATCATAAATTTTGTTTTCCAAAAGAGTTTACTTTTCTAATTTTTAAATCTTCAAGAAAATTTTTTGCTTTTATATTCAAACACATTTTTCTTTTGTTTCCAAAGCAACAAGCAAGTAGTGAAAATTCAGCCAAATAATTCCTAAACAAATTGTGTTGTCTTATATCATTTTACAAAAACTGAATACATACTATTTTGTGAGTGAACTTTGAGAGTGATCAGATCTTGAGAACATGTTACTCTTGGTCTGACTGATAGGTTTATTGGATATTATAGTTAATCCATGATGCCTAGATAACAAATGGGCATGCATTATAAATTTCTGTCCCAAGTAAGTGCATGAATGCATAAAAATTGGTGCTTCTGCAATGCAATGTAATAAATTTGAGTTCGTTCAAAACAATTGTCAAGATACGGTTTCTTCCTCAGGCAATACAATATGTTAACGGATGAGGTTAGTGAAGGAGAAAAATCAATGAGCTAAATATGGGCTGGCAAGCTAGATCCTAAGCTTTAATTTGAGCAGAATATTTTACAGTTTAGAAGATAATTCTTGTTTACCTTTTCCAGCAAGCTTGTTGAACTTGCTTGATAGGATATTCAGTGTTTTGCATTATGCCTCACCAATTGTTATCTCTCAGGTGGAGAATCTTAGATGTAAAGCACGGCTTCAAGGAGTTGAGCAGGAAAGGACAACCAAACAGCTGAAGGAGGCGATAGCAATTGCAGAGGTGGAGACTGCAAAACGCAAAGCAAGTCATCAAGACACTACTGCCCAAGTAAGATGGATTTATGTTTGTTGTGGTCCATCGATATCTATTTTAATAAAATGTTTGCCCTATATCTCTGCATTGCAATGTGTATGAGTAATCATTGTTTGAACAATAATTTTTTGTCCTCTCTTGTTGTCTTTGCTATATTAAGTTATTTCCCCCAGTTTTGGCACTCTGGTTACCTTTATTTATGTCTGAAGCTCTTTTCTTTCCTTCAATTAACAAATTGAGGAAGTGACAAGATCAGAAGAATGCTCTAAGTTCAATTATCCTCCACTTTTGGTCGATTCTTTTTCCTTCTTTTCTGGTTAAACAGATAGCTGGCCTGTTCTGCCTCTATAAATCGATACAAAATTGGGCTTCTTAATTAACCATAAGAAGCATAAGGCCTATTATTTCTTTGTTTTCTTTTCTCTTTGATTATTTTAGGTTTTCGAATTTGCGGGGGATTTCTTTGTTTACAACTTTTTGGTTACAACATGTATTTACGTCTGCAAAAAAGAAAAGAAGCAATTTGTTGAGAGAAATTCTTTAAGCAGAGAATGGAGGCTTGTTGTTAAACCAAGGATTATCATCTTTTGGAGGAGGAGAAAAATAAAATTATATGATGCCGAGGAATTGCAAAAAGCAATGGACAACTTGAACTGAGTAGGATTCTAGGATAGGGAGGCTTTGGGACAATTTACAAGGCAATGTTAGATGATGGTAGGATAGTTGCTATTAAGAGGTCTAAACCAATAGACAAATCCCAGATCCAACAGTTCAAAAACGAAGTTGTTATTTTTTCTCAAATCAATTATAGAAACATAGTGAACTCACTAGGTTGTTGTTCAGAGGCTGAATTTCCTTTTACTAGTGTACCAGTTCATACCAAAGGGTACCCTTTTTCACCAGACTTACAAGCAAGATAATGAAACCTCGCTTTTGTTGCTGAAGCAGTAGCCTAAATGCATTCAGCAGCCCCTATTGCCATCTTTCATTGTGTCACTAAATCTTCCACATTCTCCTAGACGACAAAATAGAGTGTCAAGGTTTCTGATTTCGGTCTGCAAAATCAATTTCTGATGGTAAAACTTGACCACACTGGTGCAAGGAATATTTGGATATTTGAATCAAGAGTACTTTGGATCAAGTCAATTCATGGAGAAAAGCGACGTTTATAGCTTTGGGGTTTTACTTATTGAGCTTTTAGCAGGGTAGAAGCCAGTCTCTTTAACCCGTGCCGAAGAAGAAAGAAGCCTTGTTGCATACATCATTTAGGCCACAAAAGGGAACAAGTTACTTCAGAGTTTAGATATCCAAGTTGCGAATGAAGCTACCTAAGAGGATATATATGCTGTTGCTTATCTTGCGATTAGATGCTTGAGATTGAAAAGCAAGAAAAGGCCTACAATGAAGGAGGTGGCAACAGAGCTTGAAGGGTTGAGAAAGCCACATGGATGCCTAGAAATCCTTGACCAGATCCAGTTAATAAGTGATGAAATATTAGTCCATAGCGGTGTTGAAGTTGGAGAAGAATCTATCTTCATGAATTCAGATTCTGTTTACGTGTAAATTATATGCCTGATGGATTAAGTTAAGAGTAAGACAATAAGTTACTTCTGTGATCATGAGAAGAGTTGAAACAGTGACTTTGACTTAATTATGCAGACATTGATTGTATTTTTATTTCTGTCCAAAAGAGTCAAAATGAAGGAGGAAGTTGATTTTGGAGAAAACAAATGTTGAAACAAAAAAAAAAAGCCAAAAACAAAAGGGAAGAAAGCTGACTTGGTCTAAACTATTGCAACCCAAACCATATTATCTTTCTTCATTACCAATTTAAGAAAATAGAGGTCACATCTAACGACAGAGTTACCCTTTGATCTAGCATAAGTTAATATCTTATTTCTCATTAGTTTCATTGTGTTGATTTTCAACACTTATGCCTTAAGCCGCTAAATCAAAATAATGAAAGCAACCTGGGAGGAGCTGATCTTTAAGATTCTGGATGATAATTTCTTTGTTGCAATTTTGCAAAAGGGACAAAATATATGTCTAAAATAGCAATTGAAGCCATGATTTAATTCTCAACTTAAGTTTAACGAACCTTTTGAACCTGCTAGAATGGCATATCATAGATATCTGATTTTGATTATTAATTTATTGTTTTTTTAAAAATGTAAGTGTAATGTTATAGAGAGAGTAATGAGAACAAAAAGAACAAATTATATCACATGAATAGTAGTGAAAGTAACTCAAAATAAGTGGTAGGATTTTGATATTAATTTCATTTTAAAATGTTGTGGAAAGCTTAATTTGGTAGTTTAGATATAGAGATAACTAAGAGATTCTCTTAATATTTTCTTGAAGTACAAATACTTTTCTCTTTATCTTTTATCTTCTTCCTTTTTATTCAAGAACAAATCAAATTATACCATTATTGATCATGCTTCAAAATGCTCACTACTTTAATGACTACGTAATGAGATTTTAGTAAGTGTCACTATATTAAAACTCTTTTTAGTAACTGCTATTCATTATATACAACAAAATTTTTTCTCAATATTATTACTAATTATATGTATTAAAATCTATTTTTGAGTGACTGTTTCTTTTTGCTATATATATAGTTTTGACAATTCACTTTGTAAGATAAAAAATTCTTTTTCAAATTTTCTTCTACTTAACCTTTCCTACCTTATTCTCAAACATAAAGAGAAATTCTAAGAATAAACATACTTTCCCCATATAAGTACATCATCAAAGTTCATGCATTTCGCGCACATAACAACATAGTCATTCCATGTCAACAGAATCCAAATCAAGAGAGAAGATCGATTCTTCTTCAACTTCGATAACAGTATGCTCTGATATTTCATCACTTATTAATTGGGCTTGTTCATGGATATCTAGGCATCTATGTGAGTGTCTCAATCCTTCAAGCACCATTGACACCTCCTTCATTGTAGGCCTCTTCTTGCTATTCAATCTCAAGCATCTAATTGCAAGGTATGCAACAGCATAAATATCCTCTTTGGTAGCTTCTTTAGCGATTCGGTCGTCTAAAATCTGTAGCAACTTGTTCTCTTTTGTCGATGCAATGAAGTATGCAACGAGGTTTCTTTCTTCCTCAGCTCGGGCAAAAGAGACTGGTTTCTCCCCTGTTAAGAGCTCAATAAGCACAACCCCAAAGCTATAAACATCACTTTTTTCTGTGAATTGGCTTGACTGAAAGTATTCTGGATCCAAATATCCAAATGTTCCTTGTACAAGTGTGGTTAAGTGAGTTTTATCATCAGGAATTGATTTTGAAGTACCGAAATCGGACACTTTGGCATTGTATTTATCGTCTAGGAGGATGTTGGAAGATTTAATATCACGATGAAAGATGGGAATCGAAGCTGCAGAATGCATGTAGGCTACTGCTTCAGCGACTTCACAGGCAATTCTCAAACGATTTTCCCAAGAAAGTGAGGACTCATTATCTTGTTCATGAATATGGTGAAAAAGGGTACCATTTGGTATGAACTCGTACACTAGAATAGGAAACTCAGTCTCTAAACAACAACCCAGTAATTTGACGATGTTCCGATGATTGATTTGGGAAAGAATGACAACTTCATTTATAAACTGCTGGATTTGGGACTTATCTATTGCTTTAGACCTTTTAATAGCAACAATTCTACCATCATATAACATTCCTTTGTAAACCGTCCCAAAGCCTCCCTGTCCCAAAATCCTACTCTGGTTGAAGTTGTCCGTCGCTTTCTGTAGCTCCTCGGCAGCAAATATTTTTGAATTTTCTCCACTCCCGAAACACGACAGTCCTTGATTTAACAACAAGCCCCCGTTCTGCTTAAAGAATTTCTCTCTATGGATTCGGTCCTTTCTTTTTCGTAGTCGTAAATACATGTTGTAACCAGTAACTGCTAAACAAAGAAACCCCATACCAATACCGACACCTGAAGTGAAGCAAGGAAGAGAGAAAAAAAAAACCTCTTAATTATGCCTATTATGGTTGGATAATTTAATTAAAAAGTTCTTGTGGCTAATTAATTCAATATTGTTGTACTCATTTAACTAAATTAGCACACGAGTATATATATTTCCTAATACATACAATGCTATGAATTTTAGATTGAAGCATTATTTGTTTATTTTTATGGCCAAGATGAACATTGTTTAGTATTTTAAAAACTAGTAGAATTCTAGATTATTTATATAGTTAAATTTGATTAGAATTTTCCTAGTTAAAGCAAATAAATAAATGATTAATTAAATAACTAACTTAAAAATTAGAATTTTAAAATACCATTTAATGGTGTATGCTAACGTGCAAAGAGAGAAATTCAATTTTTAATTATTTAAAAAAATTCAAATTCTGATAGTAGCTTGTGAAAAATCCTTATGTCAAAAATACTTTTCGTTACAACTCCAATCCAATCAAAACGGGCTTTAGAGCAGATTATAATATAAAAAAAATTTTAAACGATCTTATCAGTTGTAATGATTTTTACATGAAATATTTTTTAATTAAAAATTATGATAAATTCTATTCAATATTCAAATACATGTTATCGATGGACTTAAACATTCGATTCAAAATTTTCTTTCAATAAAAAAATAGTATATATATATATCATTAATTAAATTTTTTTTTTTGAATATTCATAAATGAATTTATTTTAATTAAAATTTTATGAAAGTTACGGATTAATGTAATTTAAAAATATATGAACTTTATAAAAAAGACTGTCTAAACTTTGGCCATGGTAGAAAAAGACTGACCTAAAATGGTTGCCAATTTAAGTGAGAAACTCTCTTGCCTCTTATCCTGCGCTGCGCAGTTATGGCCATCTTCCAACTCATATGCATATCGGCCGTTTGGACAGCTACAGAGCAAACTTCCAGGATTTTTACTGCAGCTTTCACTTCTCATTGGAATCAACAAAGGCGTAAAAGGGAAGATGGGATCTTCCGCTGTTACATTGTTTGCAGCAACTATGCTTTGTACATCAGCCCCGAATAAATTCCCAATAGAGGCTAGAGAATCTCCCCATGTCACAAGGTAAGTCAGCAAAAAAGCCACGCCATCATCTGTCTGGATTTGGCTAGGACAAGCACATCGCAGTGGAACCGTTAGCTGTTCACCCACCATAAGATTCTCACCATCGTAATAATTTTGACCATCCAGAGCCTGGCAAGTGGTCAGGCCTTGGTAAGTATTATTGGCTATGTTGAAATACGTATCCCCTGGACGGATAGTGTAAGGGGCGATGTGCTGGAACAAACTGCCCCAACAAGAACAAGTGATCGGGACTATAACAATCTTGTCAGGAGAAAACTTGTGGGTGACAGAGACGTTGTTGATGGAGGCAATGAAGGAGGCGTTGGAGCCGAGCAAGGAGGCAATGCTTTCAGGAGAGTCATAAGGAGGCTGGGGACGGAAGGTGAGAAAGGAGGCGCAGGACCTCTGAATCCTGTTACAAAAGTAGCCTTTGGATATGGAAACAGCTCTATTGCAGAGGAGCTGTGCATTATCTATGTACTCTTGTTGGGCATGCGAGGGATGATGAAACTGTGACAGAAGCATAAGCGTATAGAGAAAGTGGGATAATGAAGAAAGCCCCATGGAATTGGGATGTAATGCATGCTAAACTTGTATGCTAGGCTTGCTTCGTTCTTTAATTATTATATCTTCTATATCTATCAAACCAATCCATGCTCGATGCCAGTCAGACTGGTATTTTCCGCATGCGACTAACGTACAGTTTATTGTCAAACTAATATGGCGACGTTCAGTGCATTCCTAACTACTCCTTGAATAAAGTCGAGAAAGAAAACTATAAGTCAAAAAGTCATCATGCTGTGTGGTCAAGCTCGTAGAAAAAGGGCTCACGTAAAACTCATTTTTACCATTTCTGATGCGAACATATATATATATATATATAAACGTTTTAATGCTTGTTATAATAGGTCTCAACGAGGTTTAGTTCAGCAAAAATGAAAGAAGAAAAGGGATAATGATGACTTGCCACTTTACACAAAGTCAATTAATCAAAGCAACAATGAATCACAATTGCTTGGCATTTTATGAATGAAGTATGAAAGTTTGATGGGTATCAACCTTTTATTTTGGTCAATCACGTATCAACCTCTCATAAATTGACCAAAAACACAGAAAGCTGGATACGTGTACTGCATCTATGATACACCATTTTAAAAGTATAAAATATCAATATTATCTCTGCACCCTCTCAAGTTAATATTAAATTAGTGACAAAGTTAAGATTTTAAATTTAAAGAAATAAAAATAAAAAATTTAATATTTAAAGGTAAAATTTCAAAAATTATTAAAAACTAAAAATAAATTTATAAATATTTAAAATAAAATAAAAAATATTATAAACTTCTAAAACTTTGAGTGACCATGCCCTACTAGCCTCCCCTCCCTCCTTTGGTGTTAGTGGTCAATTAATGGCCAAAAGTAAGGAGATCCAGGGAGGGACGGGAAGGAGAAGAGAGAAGGAAATGGAAAGGAAAAAAAATTGTTAAAAAAAAATAATCTATTTTTATCTTTCAAAGAATAAAAATTTATTTTTTAAAATTACATATTCTCTATTTTATTTTATTTTATTTTTCAAATTTTAGTTTTTATTTTAATAAATTAAAAATTTTCATGAATGAAGTTATACCGCATGTCATGGATGAAAATTGACATGATATTTATTTGGTCATGTGGTGCATTTTGATTGACTTGTTGAAACATCATCGAATTTTTTTAACAAAATTAATCTTTAAAACATATAGATAGATAAAATAAAAATTCAAGTACAACATCAGGCTTTTTTTATTTTTAATAGGTATAAAATTAGACATTTTCCTCAATTATAGGAAGTAAATGTGATATTATGACTCTGACACTTAAGCGAAAATCATTATTTTTGTCATTGATTCTTTCAAATTAATTATGTTTAAGAAAAAAAATTTTGGAGCTTCTCAAATTGAGAAAATACCAAGATCAATGGCAATTTCATTTGCTTCCCACTTTTGCTCCCCTCCAAAATTGCCGCTGGTGTTGGCTTGCCTCTTTGTTACGTGCATTTTCTCTTTTTTAATTTTAAAGATCGATTAGAATATCTTGCTGTGTCTCCCTCTTCCGCGGAAACACAACAGCTTAGATAAACAGTCTTATCTTATTTTCAATGATTAATCCAGGCACCCTTTTCAATGGACACCGCAAAACTGTTGTCCCGTTTGAAAACCTGCATTAGTTCTAAGTCATTGCTAAAGGGTAAGCTCCTTCACCAGAAAATAATCACTTTCGGCTTCCAGAACAACATCGCCTTTTGCAAAAGCCTCATCAGCTTTTACTTCTCCTGCCATTTACATGACTCCGCATTCCGTGTTTTTAAGACCATTGACAACCCATTAGACATTTCTTTGTGGAATGGCCTCATGGCTGCTTACACTAAGAGCTTCATGTTCGTTGAAGCTCTTGATCTCTTCGAGAGGTTATGGGAATATCCTTTTTTAAAGCCTAACAGTTTCACCTATCCAAGTGTGCTAAAGGCTTGTGGTGGGTTGGGAAGTGTTGATTATGGGAAAATGATCCATACCCATTTGATAAAAGCTGGATTTTTATATGATGTTGTTGTTGCAAGCTCTCTTGTAAGCATGTATGCAAATTGCAATATGTTTGAACAGGCTACGCTCGCGTTTGATGAAATGCCTGAGAGAGACGTTGCCTGCTGGAACACTGTTATATCCTGTTATTATCAAGATGGGAAAGCTAAAAAAGCATTGGAATTATTTGGGAAGATGAGGGGTGCTGGGTTTGCGCCTAATTCAGTGACACTAACAGTTATTTTCTCATCTTGTGCAAGGCTTATGGACCTGGAAAGAGGGAGGGCGATTCATGGAGAATTGGTCAAACACGGGCATGTGTTGGATGGTTTTCTTGGCTCTTCTCTTGTTGACATGTATGGGAAATGTGGTTGTATTGAGATGGCTAGGGAGGTTTTCGAGCAAATTCCAGAAAAGGGTGTGGTTTCTTGGAATTCCATGATTGCAGGTTACGGTTCAGTAGGTAATAGCCAATCATGCATGGAACTCTTTAAGAGGATGAATATGGAAGGGATTAAACCCTCTCTGACTACTTTAAGTAGCATATTGATGGCTTGTTCAAAATCAGCCCAACTTCAGTATGGAAAATTTATACATGCTTATATGATAAGAAATATGGTAGAAGCTGATATTTTTGTTAACAACTCCCTTATTGATCTATACTTCAAATGTGGAAATGTTAATTCAGCTGACAATATCTTTAAGATGATGCTAAAAACAGATGTAGTCTCTTGGAATATTATGATCTCCGGGTATGTCTCTATTGGCAATTTTTTTGACGCTCTTGGCATCTATGAAAACATGATAAAAGCTGGTGTAAATCCAGATGCAGTAACATTTACTAGTGTCTTAACAGCTTGTTCACAATTGGCAGCCTTAGAAAAAGGAAAGGAGATTCATAATTCTATAACTGAGAGTAAATTGGAAAGAAATGAAGTAGTCATGGGGGCTCTCCTAGACATGTATGCAAAATGTGGTGCTGTAGATGAAGCCTATAAAATTTTCTGTGAGTTACCAGAGAGGGATCTCGTGTCTTGGACTTCTATGATCACTGCTTATGGATCTCATGGTCAAGTTCTAGATGCTTTGGAACTTTTTGGTGAAATGCAGCAATCTAACACAAAACCAGATGGAGTTACTTTTCTTGCAGTTTTATCTGCTTGTAGCCATGGAGGATTGGTTGATGAAGGTTGCTATTATTTCAATCAACTGACCAATGAACATAGTATTAAGCCTCAAATTGAACACTATTCATGCTTGATTGATCTTCTTGGACGTGCTGGAAGATTACATGAAGCTTATGAGTTTGTCCAAAGTAGCCCGGAGACTAGAGAGGATGTTGGGTTGCTAAGCACACTATTTTCTGCATGCCATTTGCACAAATGTTTAGAGCTGGGGGAGAAAATTGCAGAATTGCTTATTGAGAAAGATCCTGATGATTCATCAACCTATGTTATTTTGTCAAATATGTATGCTTCTGCCAAGAAGTGGAACAAGGTACGCAAAGTGAGATTGAAGATGAGAGAACTAGGACTGAGAAAGAACCCTGGTTGTAGCTGGATTGAGGTTGACCAGAGGATCCAACCTTTCTTTGTAGAAGATAATTCACACCCACAAGCAAAGATCATATATGATTGTCTATCAAGTCTTAACAGTTACATGGAGAAGGATAATGTGACGGCCGCTTTCGAATCAAGCACTGACCAAGTTGTTTTATAAAACTGAAAATTGAACAAAAAATCAAGCATTGCAAGCAACTTAATGTTTGCAAGTGACTAGTATCATGAGGAGTTTTTCTGTTTTGAGTCCAAAAGGACGCTCTGGGAACACTTGGCATCTACTGATGTTATTGAGTTGTTCAATGAGGTAAAAGGTGAGCACTGTCAAGCAACTAGAGATTTGAGAAGCTGTGGATGTTATGTACAGCATGCATCAAAACTCACCTGAACATGCCTCCTTATGTACAGAGTGGATTCGATGGTGTGATCTTTCCTCTACAATGGGCCAAAGAGGCCCGTTGCCATAGCCGTTAATCAGTTTAGATATCTGTGTTTCATTGTGGCCCCAGGATGTGTTTGAGGAAAAGAAATGTCTTATATCCAAATGAAGACAATCGTGGTGGCTTTAATTCGATGCGTGAGTTTGAGACCATAGCCGTTGATGGTGGTGCAAGTGCAGAGAAGATGATGGACCCTCCTTACACCTTATCACTTCTTTTGAAAATGAGAGGTTTGGCTGAAGAAAAGCAAGGATTGGCAAATGATTTTGAAGGAAACTAGTCTTATCGAACTCGTTAAATTGCATAGATGGCACCGTATTAGCCTATATATTATTTTGACTTCATCAAATTTTACATTAATATTAATGATAACAAAACCTTATAAGCGAAATTAATGGTATAATTTTCAGTTAAACCTAAGTGATAAGGATGAGCTGAAGTGCGATGAAGCATTTGAGATTATATAGTGCCTTCAAATGCAACCAATAAATTTATAAGTTATTGGAAATCTGTATGTATGGATAATGAGTCATTTTGGGATTGGGTTTGATGTATCCAAGTGAATCAATTATTAACTTTGATTGAAGATTGTGAAGAGCTTGGCTGCAGAGTCGATGGCTAAAGGAAGAAGACAAGCACGTGCCTCTCATGTGCTTACTTGAGTGAGGATACTTGTGGAGCGTGCAAGGATCCATTTGTCATGCAGTAAAATATTTTTTGAAAAACGTTTTCAGTACTTATATTTGTTTGATAAATAAAAAATTAATTTCAGATATAAAACATTTCACAAGTTAATAAAGTTAATCACGAAAAATATCTTACGTCTTTGAAAAATATAAGATACTTTTCAGAAAATTATTTAAATTTTATTAATAATTATAATAAAAAAATATTTCAATGATCATCATTAATAAATACATATTATAGGTTTTAAATATCTTACACAATTGATAAATATTTATATTTTTATAATTATGATAAAAAAGTGATAAAGATGAATTTTTTTTGAAAATTAGAATTTATTTTCATTACAGATATATGATTAAATACTTCAAAAAATATTATTATTGATTTTGTTCATTTTCAT